TGGTATGAACCATGTCAATGAATATGACTTGGACAGATTAATTGTCATGTCCTAAAAAAAGAAAGTACAATAGCATTGGTATGAGTACGAATTATAATATACAATGCTTCATGTTGTATTTAAGGAATCTTTTGCACCGAAAGATTTTTTTTTTCGAATTGCAGGTAAAGAAGATAAGTAATAGCAGAATCTCATTTTAATAAATATTAATCATAAAAATGTTCAATAAGCATAAGTAGGAGCAGGCTTGTAGGCAGGAGCAGGTTCGTAGACAGGGGCAGACTTGTAGGCAGGTGCTGGGTGGTACTCAGGGTACTGGGCCTCACCCTCGTAGCTGACCTCAGCCACGTAGCCGGAGTCGCCGTTGACAGTGTAGGCGACCTTCTCCAGACGACCGTCGGGGAGCTGAACGTAGTAGGAACCCTGAGTGTTGTATCCGTCACGGGTCTCCTGGTGACCGAAGTCGTTGCCGGAGTAGTCGTCCTTCACAGCATAGTTGAAGTCGTACTTGGCAGGGACCTGGAAAAGTTGCACAAAAATCAGAATCGTGTAATACTACATTCTCTTTTGCAATATGTCAGTAACAAATGTGATTTTCAGATTTCTAAAACTGTACTTACCTCATAAGCTGGCTGAGGAGCATAGCCATAGGCTGGCTGAGAAGGAGCAGAGGCAGCAACGGCCACGAGGGCGAGGGCAACGACAGCCTAGAACGAATTATATCATTTTTCAAGAACTCATGTTAAGCACAAACATTTGTATCGGTATTGTGGAGCATACTACAATTATTTCAGTTTTTGAGTTTTTCTTGTTATATACCTTATTGGACATGTTAATGATATTTCTTACCTTGGTGAACATGATGAAGGTAGATGAAGTGTGATGCTCCTATCTCAAAGCAAGTCCCTTATATACTGTGGTCCACGAGTAGGCATACAGTAGACACGCCCCTTCCTTCCTTCCGTGCGACCTTCACCTTGAATTATAACCAATTTCAGCCACTTCATCATATGGTTAGACCATATTACCATTCTGCAGATTAACACATGTCTTTATATATTTGATAGACAAATAAAGGGGGAAATGCTAAGTTCAGTTTTCTAAACATCATGATTTATGTAAAAAGTAGAAATGAAAAGAAGAAGAAGAAGAAAATGTCCACAAGTATTCGTGCTTGAGCATTTCTGTGTGTGTGTGTGTTTTTTTTTAAATGGATGTTTACAATACATGGTGTGTTACACAGACACTCACTAACATATTCTTGAACTTAAAGGAGGATTATGAAACAGGTAAAGCTAGTAATGATAGAGAATGCAAATCTATATAATTATCTTGTGAACGCATATGTCATTCATATATGATTGTTATTTTTATGTGCTTGTGTGTATAAAGGCACTATATTTCATTTAAGGATTTAAACGTTGATATTATCGTGGAATCCTGGAAGGTTCTGATTCTGAATCCTACAGCCATTTACCTTTATCTTTCCTTGTAAGAGCCTCTTAAACGTTGATGCCGAAAGGTATGTTCAATTACCGCTGAGAAATGAGAAATATAATATTCGGACTGAATTATAATTCTGCACAATCATAAAGTGGAATAATACATCTTACGTAGGTTATACATTCGCTGGAACTGTTGCGGAAAGTAAACCTCACTAACATGTTTATTGGAGGGAGACAGAAACACGACTGTGATTTCCAATATCTCCGAATGAATTGATCTGTAAACATTTATTATTATTATTATTTCTGAAGTTGCACGGTGTATAGTATGACTACCTTATACTGTGTGTTTACGCTAATTCTATTACAGCGAGAGTAATATGGCCTGTTAAAAAGAGATAAAATGAATGCATTTCAAGGTAAAGGTCGCACGGAAGGGGCGTGTCTACCATAGGCCTACTCGCGGACCGCACTATAAAGCGGACTTAGTGAGTTACAGGAGCATCACACTTCATCTATCTCCCCCATGTTCACCAAGGTAAGACAAATCATTACCTTGCCTTGATCAGCTATATAACTAAACATACCTTAATATAATCGAAGCATATTTCAAATTTCTTTGCCATCTTAAATTAGCAAAGATTACACGAAATTTACTTACATCTTTCTAGACTATCGTTGCCCTCGCCCTTGTGGCCGTTGCTGCATCTGCTCCTTCTCTACCAGCCTATGGCTATGCTCCTCAGCCAGCCTATGAGGTAAGTATAATTTTGGAATGTAAAAGCATCATTTCATAACTAATGTAAATTATAAAAGAAATTTAGTATTGCATAGTTCTAATTTTGTGCATTTTTTTTCCAGGTCCCTGCCAAGTACGACTTCAACTATGCCGTGAAGGACGACTACTCCGGCAACGACTTCGGTCACCAAGAATCTCGCGATGGTTATAATACTCAGGGTTCCTACTACGTGCAGCTCCCCGACGGTCGTCTGGAGAAGGTCGCCTACACTGTCAACGGCGACTCCGGCTACGTGGCCGAGGTCAGCTACGAGGGTGAGGCCCAGTACCCCGAGTACAAGCCTGCCTACAACCCAGTACCTGTCTATAAGCCTGCACCAGTCTACGCCTAAATGAAATTTTAAATGATGATGCATATTTATTAAACAGGTCTACTACTACTCATCTTATTACCCAGTCTAAATAGTTGAAAAAATATTAATAAGCGTATGCTGATGAGTTTGTTAAAGAAAAAAAAAAGTCGAAAACACCATTATATCAGTATTTATAATACATACATAATTTGAAGGAAATGTTGGAATCTACTCGTGTATAAATTAATTTAACCATATCCATGTTAACAACAGAATGAAATGCACTGCCTATACAAAGTCATCTTGATTACTCTTAACTGATTATACTGCTCTTCCAATTTAGCAATATTTATTTTCATTTAACACATTAAGGAATTTAGCAATCTAAATGCTCTTCTCAACACATTTGCATTACTAACATAAGGGCTTGGGATCGATTCACACACTTTTTGTCTTTGATATAAGGCTGTATATAGTCTGTATGATCATAGCTAGAAAACATAATGGATGAATGGGTACATTATATGATCCGTCGGTTCCTTTTATCCTGTCTATTTTGCACATTGACAAATGTGTATGTGCACAAATGCAGACATGGATATGTGAGAGTATAAGATAATGACTATGAAGCGTATCTCTGAATATGTCTGTCTATGAGAGAGAGAGAGAGAGAGAGAGAGAGAGAGAGAGAGAGAGAGAGAGAGAGAGAGAGAGAGAGAGAGAGTAGGACCAAAATTTGACGTCAACGACGATCTATTCAATCGATGAAATGAAGAGACGAAACACTTCCATGCGAACGGTGTCCGAACCAGAAAGAAAAAAAGCATGTATTATACGTAATATAGTACATACAGATATCTACTCTATGTCAGTTATATTATATACAGATATATGAATATATACATATACTATATACATACATACATATATATTATATATATATATATATATATATATATATATATAATATGTTATGTATATATATATATATATATATATATATATATATATATATAATATATATATATATATATACACATACATATCTAATATATGTATACATACGTATATATATATTATATATATATATATATATATATATATATATATATATATATTATATATGATATAAATATATATATATATATATATTATATATATATATATATATATATATATATATATATATCTATATATATACCCACATACATATGTATATGTATGCAGTATATATACATATACAAACATACATATCTAATATATTTATACATACATGTAAATATATATTATATATTTAATAATATATATAATATATATACCTATTATATAATATATAATTATATATATATATATATATTATATTAATATTATATATATATATACGGCGTAATTATACATAATATATATTTTCTACATATATATTTGACATATACATGTACAGAAAGATACACACACAGTTAACAAATGCAATATATTGTATATATTTACATATATTTAACATACAACATATATATATATTATAATATATATATATATATGTATATATTATACATGTATACATATATACATAACATAAACACATATGTATATACCTCCGTATATATGTACTTATATATGGTGTATGCCTTCTACATATTTAGGTATATATCATATATAGACATATATGCATATATGTTTAAGCAATATGTATAATATGTACATGTGTGTGTGTATTTTCGCCCCATTGGTTGCCCAGGTATGAAACATGTCAAATAACATGACTTGGACAAATTAATTGTCATGTCCTAAAAAGGAAAGTACAGTGACATTGGTATAAGTACGAATTAGGATGTAGAATTCTTCGTGTTGTATATAAGGAATCTTTTGCACCGAAAGATTTTTTTTCCGAGTTAGTAGGTAAAGAAGATAAGTAATAGTAGAATCTCATTTTAATAAATATTAATCATAAAAATGTTCAATAAGCATAAGTAGGAGCAGGCTTGTAGGCAGGAGCAGGTTCGTAGACAGGGGCAGACTTGTAGGCAGGTGCCGGTGGTACTCAGGGTACTGGGCCTCACCCTCGTAGCTGACCTCAGCCACGTAGCCGGAGTCGCCGTTGACAGTGTAGGCGACCTTCTCCAGACGACCGTCGGGGAGCTGAACGTAGTAGGAACCCTGAGTGTTGTATCCGTCACGGGTCTCCTGGTGACCGAAGTCGTTGCCGGAGTAGTCGTCCTTCACAGCATAGTTGAAGTCGTACTTGGCAGGGACCTGGAAAAGTTGCACAAAATCAGAATCGTGTAATACTACATTCTCTTTTGCAATATGTCAGTAACAAATGTGATTTTCAGATTTCTAAACTGTACTTTACCTCATAAGCTGGCTGAGGAGCATATCCATAGGCTGGCTGAGAAGGAGCAGAGGGCAGCAACGGCCACGAGGGCGAGGGCAACGACAGCCTAGAACGAATTATACCATTTTTCAAATACACATCTTAAGCACAAACATTTGTCACGGTATTGTGGATCACATTACAATTATTTCAGTTCTTGAGATTTTTCTTGTTATATATCTCATTAAGACACGTTGATGATATTTCTTACCTTTGTGAACATGATGAAGGTAGATGAAGTGTGATGCTCCTATCTCAAAGCAAGTCCCTTTTAACTCTGGTCCCCGAGTAGGCCTACAGTAGACACGCCCCTTCCTTCCTTCCGTGCGACCTTCACCTTGAATTATAACCAATTTCAGCCACTTCATAATATGGTTAGACCATATTACCACTCTGCAGAATAACATGTAAGTCTCTATATATTTGATGGACAGATTAAGGGGGGAATGCTGAGTTCAGTTGTCTAAACATCATGATTAATGCAAATAGTAAGAAAGGAAAAGAAACGAAAAAAAAACGTCAACAAGTATCGTGCTTGAGCATTCCCTGTTATTTTTTTTTTTTTATGGATGTGTTTACAATACTTAACGTGTTACACAGACATTCACTAACACATTCTTCAAATCTTAAGGAGGATTATGAAACAGGTAAAGCTGGTAATTATAGGAATGCAAATCTGTTTACAATAAATCTAAATAATTATGTGTGAGCGCATATGACATTCAAATATTATTGCTATATTTATGTGCGTGTGTGTATAAAGGCACTATATTTCATTCAAGGATTTAAAGTTGATATTATCGTGGAATCCTGGAAGGTTCTGATTCTGAATCCTACAGCCATTTACCTTTACCTTTCCTTGTAAGAGCCTCTTAAGCGTTGATGCCGAAAGGTATGCGAATGTAACGAGAAATCAAGCATTATAACCATATATGGTAGTGTGTCCAATGAAAAATGAATCGTTTTTTTTTGTTCTAGTTTAGTATCAATAATTTCCTTTTCAAATTTTCTGGTGTCTTATTTTGGTGTAATTGCCGCTAAAAAGGAGAAATATAAATTTCGGGCTGAATTATAAATCTGCACAATATAAAGTGGAATAATGCATCTTACGTAGGTTATACATTCAGTGGAACTGTTGCGAAAAGTAAACCTCACTAACATGTTTATTGAGGGTGACAGAAACACGACTGTGATTTCCAATATCTGCGAATAATTTATCTCTTAACATGCAACAACACATGTTTATTCTTTTCTGAAGTTGCACGTGTGTAGTATGGAAATATATACTGTGCGTTTGCGCTAATTTCATTACAGCGAGAGTAATATGGCCAGTTAAAAGAGATAAAATGAATGCATTTCAAGGTAAAGGTCGCACGGAAGGGGCGTGTCTACCATAGGCCTACTCGTGGACCGCACTATAAAGCGGACTTAGTGAGTTACAGGAGCATCACACTTCATCTATCTTCACCATGTTCACCAAGGTAAGACAAATCATTAGCCTGCCTTGATCAGCTATATAACTAAACATACCTTAATATAATCGAAGCATATTTCAAATTTCTGTGCCATCTTAAATTAACAAAGATTACACGAAATTTACTTACATCTTTCTAGACTATCGTTGCCCTCGCCCTTGTGGCCGTTGCTGCATCTGCTCCTTCTCTACCAGCCTATGGCTATGCTCCTCAGCCAGCCTATGAG